ACACACACACACACACACACACACACACACACACACACACACACACACACACACACCCCTCATCTGTACACCTCTTGTCGTGAGCAAACACATACAATAACGCACACGCGCCGGCGTGCGCACATGTACACACACACACACACACACACACGCGCACATACACGCGCGTGCAAGTAACCGCTAAGGTGAGCACGTGGCACACAGCACCAAAGAACATCATCATCATCATCGCATCACCATTATCATCATAATCATCGTCATCACCCCACCCCCCATATCTTCCAGCCCACCACTGAACGTTTTGCTGTCCATAACGGTACAGAGCTCGGCATAACCACGTTGAGCCACGCTCTATGTGAGGGAAAAGGCTCTTCCGTGAGTGCTTACACCGTGCGTGAGTGAGTGAGTGAGTGAGTGTTCGTTCGTTCGTGCCTCCCTCCGTCAGAACCCCTCGTCCTTTTACCCCTACCTCTACTCACACCGCGATGGCGGTGGTGGAGGCGCGTGCAGGGTACGCGGGCTGTGAGTTTCAAGTTCACGCTGGCGTTCATGTTGGCTGGAGGATCTTCTTCTCAGGACAAACACCTTGTACCTTTCGCGTGTAGACAAGAGCGCTCACCTGCTATTGGTCTCATCCGCTAATTTTCGCTGCCGGGCTACCCCGTAAGCGCTTGTGCCAACAAAGACGGTTAGTTAGTTAGTTGACGGACAGTTAGTAGGACTACCCTAAAGGCGTATGGCAGGTGGTTCGTTTCTTGGCTATCGGAGTGGGTAACATTCGTAATCTTATCTTGTTGTTTTTCTTCTTCTTTGACCAAAGGTTCTTCTTTTTGGTTGACAGTATAAATGACAAACTTGCATCATTTTCGAGACACTTATTGTTTCAACTCATTTTCAATTGTGATGGATATGAAAGGTTCTCAAGTATGTGAATATTTTCATTTGTTCAAAGTGGAACCTGTGAGTTTCCAATTCCTTTGTTTTCAACATTTGGTTTTGTTTTATAAGTAGAATTTTATTGCAGCGAAATAGAGCTCCATTCTTTTGGGTCTTCTATAAGAATGCTGCCTGTCGGTCTGTCTGTCTGTCTGTATGTCTGTGTGTCTGTGTCTGTCTGTCTGTCTGTCTGTCTGTCTGTCTGTCTGTCTGTT